AAACACAGTGAATTATTAGTGAGCTTTAGAGGAACAAGTCAGTGGATTCTGTCACCTCTGGACAGACCCAGGGTAATAGTTTCCAGTCTTTATGCTAAGCTAAGATACCCTGCTGCTGGCTGTGTCTTCTTATTTACTGCACAGGCAGTAACCCTCAGCAAGAAAGTCAATGAGCATGTGCATCGCACTGCTAACAACTGATTAACTGTTAACAACCCATAACTGAATGCAGGTGTTGATGAACAACAGAATAACACGGTCGAGATAATAAAGTATGTCTTCATGAGAGAAGTTGAAACTATTGACAAATACTGCACCGAGGTCTTTAAATGGGGGGGGGGGGCGATATCCAGACAGTTAACTGTTCATTTTAGACCTATGACCAAAATAAACTACAAGCACATGAAAGCTACTACGTTACAAAAGAAGAGAATTTGTACTTGTAAAGATTGAAAAAATGAGTCCAAGCTGGCAAATACAGAAATGTGCACTACACAGCAAACAGACAGAACCATCTTTCTTTTTCAGTGAGAACTGCTCAGATGTGTGGAATCGGAAAAGAAAAAAAAAAAACAACCAACATCAATGCGACATTGCCAAAGCTTGAGGTTGGTCCACTGAGTCTGGCACGTCCTGTTTAGGTAGCACTCGTCACAATATACACACGCCCCACAGGTCTGACTGCTGACTGTAGCTGTTGAGGAAGGGGCAGCTGGTGTAAAGCAATATCGAAATTAATGTGTAAGGGGCAGCTGGTGTAAAGCAATATCGAAGTTAGGGTGTATATGTGTTGTCTGTCGTTGTATACCATCCATGTAAGCCATCAGCTGGGAACGCTGCACGTCAAAGAGTGCTGGAGGACCGTGGTTTGAACTCCCAGAACCAGGAGCAAGGAAAGCGTTGAAGACAAATACACTGCTCATGAAACAGAACGCAGACAATACATAAGGCAAAATGACACCGGATCAAGCAATGGCATGTTCATAGAAACACACCTCACCGTTTCCAGCATAATTGAATTTGATGTGCTTTGTGACAAAGTATAAAGGCCTCCCTTAGCCGAGCGGCAGGCCGGCCACGGCTGTTGCATAACAGGGCTAATAAAGGAGGCCTACAGGGCCCAGGACGGAGAGGACGCCGCAGACACATGGGAACTGCCTCTGTTCTGCTGCTTTGTCTAGGGCCGCAAGCAAGAAGAGCCCCTGGGCATTAGTGTAGGCATGCCTAACATAGCACTCATTCCACAGTAACACAAAAGCCCCATAGAGATGCTTGGCTGCAGGAGCTGGCAGGGCCACCCCAAGCTGCCCCAGGTGTCCACCATCCTCCAAGACATAATCATCATCAAGGTTGGAGACAATGAGCAGCAGGAGGTGTAGATGCTTTGGGAAATGCAATGTTTAGGAGCTTTTATTTCTCAATTTGTGCTTAAAGGTTGGGTTGCATCATAGTGCTGATACAAGAATCTGCACTTCTGCGTTAGAGCCATCCATATGCTGACGGCGAGCTGCTTCACCCGTTTCCCTGGTGTACATGCACTGCATTCACACGTCGACAGGGATGCATCAATACCAGTATCAGGTCCGATACCACCCTCTAGTACTTGAACTCATAAAACCTGTCTGATACTACACACTCATACCACTTAGTGGCAACACTGGTTGAGCAGGTCATTATGCAGTGCAGAAGAAATTTCAGTGGCTTGAAAATATTTTAAGATAAGTGACAATGACAAAAGTAAAGCCAACTGCGAGCTCTGCTTCTCTGCTCTGTGTCTAGAATGGGGAGGGACGGGTGCTGACACACAGCAGATTAGAGACAAAGCTGTACGTTACTGAGACAACAAAGCTCGATATGTGCAACAAAATCCACCAGTGCTGCAGAGAGTACAAGCACTTTATCAAATAGCTGTTGAACAACCTGAACACAAACTTGCAGAAATAGGACGTCTGCACTCTCCTCTTGATCAGCTCGCACGGTCCCATATGCCCACTAAACCCAAACGGTGCTCGGTCTACTGACTGCAGTGAGCTGTTGTGGACGAGAAGAAGGCAAACACTAATCTTAGGTAGTTAAAGGTTGAACCCAATGAGCTCTGTGTATGAATAGGAGTTGAATACTTGTGGATTTGGAGGCTGAACAGCTCCTGTACCAGCAGTGTAGGACACGATAATGTCACACACAGTAGCCAGTTTAATGTAAGATCGTGAACTCTTTTCTAATTACAATTTTAAATCACCGACTGTGACGTTACATGCTCCTAATCTTTGGAGTTCAGTCAGTTCCACGTTACATGGCGTTGGACTGGTGGCTGTAACATGTTTGTTTACATACTACAAATTTATGTGTTAATTTGTGGACAGCGGCAACAGTATCCTATTGTAGATATATATATTTATATAAATCACAATCAGAAAGGAAACAACTACTGAAAATAACCCTGTCTTTATGGTAACTGTAATTTTTATAGCAGAAATACTGCATTATTATTAAATACATATATAGGTACTCAATATCAGCAAGCACTCAAATGTAAGTACTCGGTGTGGAAAAATGAGGTTTCGGTGCATCCCCCCTACACATCGATCTAACTTGTCACTACATGCTGTCATGTGATCAAAACAGCTCCATCCAGCCTCTCTACTACTGCCTGCAGACAACCAGAGTACCACCTCTGGCTGGATACACAGCTCAGAACATCATGGTCATCACATTTCAGCTCAGTGATTCTTTGGTTTCACTGATTAGGTGAGAATCCACCGCCAAAACGCCTCTTTCAGGGTCAGCAGACCCGAGGCTTGAACTGATCAGATGATGCTAGCTGCGGACTGTACATCAGGCCAGATGGCAGTACCTGAAGTCGGCAGTGAAACACAATGTGTTCACACAGGCTGTTGCAGTGAGTTGATGAAGAGCTCTCGAGGCCTTTGTGTCATCACACACAGATCATCTTATGGCCAAAATGTGAGTGAAATGCCTTTTTTTTATTAACTATATTCTGACACTATAAACCCAACAATTCATATAGAAAAAGGTGTGTCAGATTAATCCACTGAAAATAATCACATTACATTAGTTACATTCTAACTAAAATTAGGAAAATTAATATAAACAGATCAATTAAAGTTAGGAATTTACACCAGTGCCATCCAATAACATGACTAAGCTGCCGAGTTATAACAACAACAACAGCAGCAGCATCCTTATGAGGATACTGCATTAAAAATGACCGGAAGAAGTGCATAGATCTTGTACTTGACTACATTTGGTTCACTTTCTATGACTCCATGTGGCACATCTCAAGAATCAGATCACAATCACTTTGTTTCTGAAGTCTCCGGCTCGTACGCTATCTCATGTAGCTGTACATCACATGAGGCTAAAAGCCTGTACCTCATGATGACATGTAATAACATGTGGCTTTTACCAGACAACACATCAGCTTTTGACTTTTGCTGCAGCATCTGTCAAACAGGGCCTCAACAAACAGGAACAACAATGGAATTGTTATCACTGCTCTCTGATCCCTCCATCCACATCATACCCATGTGGCATGCAAACAGTCCACTTATCTTGCAGCTGATGGAAGGAACTATGTTTCTTAAAGTGATAACACTGATTGTGTAGCTGACACCTTTTTGTATCAGTAGCACATTAGTAGAAATTCAGCATTTAGAGCTGGTAGTGATGTAATTTATTGGAAAGTCAATATCAGGTGGTGACAGAAGACATTCCTCTGGCTGAGATAACCTATAAATCACTACTTGTGAAACTGCTATCAGCTTCACATAACAATGGGTAATCAACTTGCAGGGAGGAGGGCGCCTTCAAGGAAATCACATTTTTCTTATCTAGATTACATGCAGCATGAAACAGAAATTCAAACTAGACTTGCATCCCCAGCCATATTGGAGTGTTGTTTTTGTGAACTTCTGGCTTTCCCTCATAATGCAGCAGAGTTCAAATACTTGCTATAATTCCCAATAATCTCACAAAGTCTGCTCTGAATGCCTGAGCGAGCCTGTATCTGGGTTGGTGAAACCCTAGTCCCCACACAAGCACATCCTTGCAGCTTTCCCAGTGGCCCAACTTGCATTCCTCACATACTTTCACAAGGATCTCTGGGAGTTGGAGTTTAAAGATCTTGCACTATTGCAGCTTCATTCTCCAACCCACTGAAACACACACACACTAAGGGTAATTCTGGGATGAACTGTGCCATTATCAGTAAACTTCAGAGCTGTACTTGACACACTGCAGGTCTCAAGGAGGTTTCTTTGTATGAAAAGGAGAACTGGATAACAATGGGTCTCTGTGTTAGGTGTGTGAACCAGGAATGCTTCAGGTCACTGGATGTCATAAATCTACCGATGAGTCGGAACTACTGAGGTTTCAGACAGACTTAGTTTTGTCTTCCATGAAGAAGAGACAGATTACAAAACACTCAGATGAGCAGAACCACGGGATTTGTGTGTGTGCTGTACAAAACACATGCTGCTGTTTGGTTACACCGACTCCTCTGACACATAATGAACTGGAAAGACTGGAGCTGCTGTCAAAGCCCATGTCATATCTGGCACAAGGCTGTCGGACATTACGTTAAAAAGCCACAGTGGAAAACGTTAACAGAGCAGCTGCACCATAGGTGACCATGGGCGTTACATCCCGTGTGTGCAGAGGAACCTTTTCAGGAGGTGGGGGGGGCACAGCTGCTGCCAGATCTCAGCTGATTCATCGGTCGTGCCTACGTTATCCACGGGAACCTTGTATCACGTTAAAGGGAATGGAGGGAAGTTACTGCCCCGGCCCCCCCCACCACCACACACACACACAAAACTGCCTCACTTGAAGTCGTCGCTGTCGCCCCCTCCCTGTCTCCTTCCGGTCGCCCTGGCATCTCCTGCTGTACTAAGTTAAGTTAGTTTGTAAGGAGGACTTGTTGAATTACCGCTACTTTGTGTTGTGTGTGTTATCCCAGTATTCCCAGGCCTTCAGCATACCTATCTCTGGGGTCAATCCATGAAGTTTGCCGGGTGTTGTGGTCGATATAAAACACTCTGCCATCATAGTCCCGGGCTTCCTCCCAGCCCGCGGGCAGCGGCAGCTCCGAGCTCTCTCTGCGCTTACTGCCGCTGACCCACGGCATAGCGTCTGGATGGGTAGACGGCTGAAGCCCCCTGCCCTGCTTTTTATCCCCAGAAACAGTCGCTCTTCACTGCATTACCACAAAGTCTACCTCGACGCACTTGTCGGCGCAAATAGACATAAATACAAAACTTTCCACCGAGGTTCTCCGCTGAAAAAGTCCCACGGGAGGTACATCCACTTCTTCCTACAACCCCGCAGAAAACACGGCGCTCTCACGGTCCTCGGTCGTCCATGTTCGCCTCCTCCACCATGTCTTATTCCTCCGTGTCCATATTCGGGTAGAGCTCATTTGCATAAACGGTCGGACGTAGGCCCGAGGAGCTCCTCCGTCCAATGGGGAGACGTCAGAGCTCCACACGTTCATTTATTGTTGAAGGGAAAACGCGGCCGTGGGGCGCCCCCCCGCCTTAAAGCCCAGGCGGCCAGCAGGGCAAGTCTGGCCGCTGGAGCTTCTCTCAGCCCCGAATGCATTTACATGAATTCACTAACATTATATGGTTATGAAAAAGGGAAATCACAGAAATAGGTCAATAGTTTAAGGCGTTTAACTTTCATTTCACTCCACGGACAGCTCCCCCCGGATACAATGACAAGGCCGTGCTTTGGGACTGCGGGGTTATTAAAGCGGTGCACCGGCGCCACCCGGTGTCTACGAGCAGCTCTGGGCTAATGGGGCTGGTTCTGTGGATCTGGGGTGTGTAGTGTGTAGTGGTATTTACTGATGCTGTTTATGCCCTTCCCGCGACCCCATTCAGGAGTAAGCGGTATAGATCATGGATGGATGGATGTTTATTATACTTCAAGTTTAAATCAAGCACAAAGAAATTGATAGAGCAAGAGTTTCAATGTTTGGCCAGATAGAGTGCCAGCTAAATCCCAGTAGTCTTGTTCCAGGCCCCTCCATTTAGGACTGCCTAAGGCCTCCCAGACACTTAAAAACCATTATCTGCCCCTTGGGGCCCATTAGGTACAACATGCAACAAGACCACCATGGAGCAGCTGCAGGAACAACTTATAATAGTGAGCGCAACAAAATAAAAGTTAAACTTTGTGTCATTGTAATGAGGCCACAGGTCCTCCTGGGGCAAAGGAAATAAAAGCTAAGGCTAGAGGAAACATATATATGGCTGGATATAACAAAATCAGATTAATATGGGAACAATATCTTGTTCCTGATTTCTCTGAAATGCTTGTACTGTCTTGTTTTTGGTATTCTTGATTAGCTTTTCTTTTGTTTTCCTTGCGGTGTCTGCTGTTCTTATGGTGTCTGTTGTTTAGTCTCTACTGCTGTTGATATATGCAGTTTTTCCCAATTGTGGAATTAATTGTGGCAGTAATATTCTTGTTCTTGATTTCTCTCAAGTGCTATGTTTTGTCTTGTTTTTAGCTTTGCTTCTTGGAGGTCCCTGTGGTGTTTTGTTGTTTGCTCTGTAATGCGGCTGGAACACTGGAATTTCCCCATTGTGGGATCAATAAAGTCTTACCCTAATAAACGCTGTCATAGTGTGTATCATGCTTGTGGGGTTATTTGTGTGTTTGAGTGACAGACTGGCACTGAGGTGGAACTGGATTCAGGTTTTTGACATTTGAAGTAATACAGGACCATTGTTGATGCCTATCTTTGTTTATCAGGAACTGCATCAACACTAATTATTTCCTCTTAGTTTTCCTTAAGTTCCTCATATAGTGATTAAAATCCAGTGTGATGTGACATTCAGATGAATTTCCTGGTGAGTTTTTGTTGCCAAACGTGATTATGACAAATACATTCTCTACACGAGTCACTGAAGGGATGTTCTTCTACAGTGGTGTCTCTGAGGCTAGAGTTTGATATAGTTGTTCCAGCCCCCTGTGCAGCCTGTTGCAGCCTGACACCAGTACAACACACAGTTTGTGTGCACGTGTCAAGAAGTCAGACTAGTCAGGTGAGCATTTTCTGCTGGGGATTTTATCTGTGCCTTTTTGTTTGTTTGTGCTTGTGTATAGTTGCATGAGTGTGTGTTTTCACAGCTTTGATCTATAGCCTCCTACACTAATTTCCCACAGGCCATGTTCATATGAGGACACACAATAAACTACTGTTGTTTCCATTTCGGTCACATGCAGCAAAAAGCCCGGCTGTCACATAGCTACCCCAGAGTGATGGATATAAAAATGACATTAGTCATTATTAGTAGTAGTAGTAGTAGTACTATTAATTAGGTACATGCATATGCACAACCTTTATTTTTTGTGCATATTTGTATTCCCTGGATAATAAATTAATTAACATTAGTTTATGAGTGTAAAGGCTCAGAAGTTTAAAAGATGAGCTCATGCTTTTAAAGACAATAATGATGTAAAAGGAGTTTTAATTTTTATTACAAGATCAAAAACTGGAGCCTTCATAGTAGCTCTGTGGGTAGCTCAGTAAATGAGAAGCTGTTCTTTGTTTTTATTCTCCTGTTCATGTTTGTTTGTCTGCTTATTTATATAATGAAATTGCTGCATCTCTGAGGACACACAAGATCCAAAAAGTGGACACCAGGGAGTCAACACAAATACATAAACACTATCCTGCCTATACCTACTGGCGTCCCCTGCAGCCTACTGTTGAGGAAAAAAGCATTTGATCTTGTGGCAGCCTGGCTATCTTTGCCTCTGCCCCTGCTGCCCATTGGCACGGCAGCGGGAGCAGGAGGACCTCAAAGGGGAGGGCCGAATGGGAAGATGTGTGTTCCTCTGAGTGGGAACTGTTTGTGAAAGTGCTCCAAGTCCAGAGCCAGAGCAGTCAACGCTAATTACTAGGTGAGGTGAGCAGCTTCGGTCTTGAGTGGACATCAAGAGGCCTCCTCAGAGAAAAAGAACTCTTGTGGCTCAGTCAAGCGTGGGGGGTCAGAGACGCAGATGGACACGTTAACCTGCGCTTTGGAGCTGCTTGGGATGCTGGTGTATGTGGGAGCATGGCTGTGCGCTTTAGCCACCACTATCTCACCACAGTGGCTGACCATGTCCACGGAGCTGCTGCCTGTGGAGAGCTACGAGCTGGGCCTGTGGGAGACCTGTGTGGTCCAGGATGTTGGGGGGCTGGAGTGTAGGGCTTATGACAGCCTGCTGGGCTTGTCCACTAACCTCAAGCTAGCTCGCATCCTCATGTGCGCATCCCTCACTGTGGGCATGCTGGGAATCCTGGTGGCTATACCTGGACTTTACATGATAAAGAGCTGTAAAGATCATGAAGGCTCTCGAACCAAGAAGACTTTAACTATCATAGGAGGGCTGCTGGGGATGGTTTCTGGAGTGCTGTGTCTGATCCCTGTGTCATACATGGCCCATTCAGCCGTGCTACATTTCTTTGATGACACAATACCTGATGTGGTTCCACGGTGGGAGTTTGGAGGTGCCCTGTTCTGCGGCTGGGCAGGAGGATTTCTTCTCATAGTGTCCGGGCTGCTTCTGGTCACCTCTTGTTTGCGTTCACAGGTGGAGCCTCAGCCTGTGGTGCAACAGAGGTACCGGGCAATGAATATAGATGTGAACTTCAGGAAGCGCTCAGAGTATGTTTAAGAAACAAAGTGTGAAAGATTTACATGTATAGAGACTGACAGCATGCCACAATCACCTGTAGAACTCTACTTCAGACTACTTTAAAACACTAATATAAATATCAGCATCACCATACTGTATAAGGGTTGCTTCATCACTTCATAGATTCTGTAAAACAAAGAAATTCACACCATGTCTGAGCTACTTTAAATGACTCACCTGCACAATCCAACATGATATTTTAAGACTCTCTGCTGTGACCAGGAAAAACTATATATATGAATGAATATGACATTTTTTTAAGGATATGTTTTGTAAAATGTGTTATATTTCCTGTTCTGGGATTGAAAATGTAGCTTTGAAAATGCTGTGATTTAAGTTATTTCTGACACTAAAGCAGAGAAAGCACACGTTCTGTGCCTGGTAAAGCTGCCTATGTGCTGCAGGGTGCAGCACATTTAGTTCATTCATATAAAGAATTCTATTGAAATTATATTGACAGGTTGTGTCTTTTTTCATTTAAAATTGTATTTTTGTGCTAGTTTTGTATTCTCTTTTCTTTTCTGTTTATGTTGACAAAATGAGAAGCTGTGACATGACTTTGTATGAAACAGTTTATCCTCAGTTATGTCAGAGGCAGAAACATGGCTGCTGTCTTGATCTTTCCTCGCTTGGTTTCCAGTTAGTCACATAAACCTGTAACCTATTTTGGTCTGAAGCTGTCCCTGGTCGCCTTCTAAACAGATGACAAGCTGAGCAGGGGAGGGGACAGAACACAGCCGTCTTTGTCGAGCGTGTCTCTGGTGGTGGAAACGCAGCTTGAAACTAATTCCATCAGATTTCCTGGTCACTCGCTGGGCTAAGCTTTGTTTAATGAATGCTTTAATGGGCAACATGTACTGTGAGGAATGTTGAACAGGTTCCCCTTGGCAGCTCCCGCTTTGACATAATTACACAAATTTGCCAAGGTCAGGGGGCGCCGCTGCCCTCCACACTTAAAAAGTGTCTGCATCATTTACATACACACAGGCACAGTGACATCATTTCTAAACCTAAACATCCTAATGATGGTACTGTGGAGTGTGCTCTTACAGCATGATGTGCTGTAAGGTGTCTATGTGGCTGTCAGTGCTTCTGTCAGGCCTCACAGCCAGAGAGCATGGAGCAGATGGAGAGGCACCCTCTGTCCACTGATGCCACACTGGCTGGAGGAAGGGCCCCGCTGTCTTCCAGCGGGCAGGCAGTGAAAACAGCTGCAGAGATCTTTGTTTTGATTACTGTAAGACTGCTTCTCTGGGTCCATGCAACAATTTACTGTAAGACTGCTTCTCTGGGTCCAGGCAGTGTCCATGCAACAAAACGGAATAGGTGTGTCTTTTTCTCATGAGCAATGTCTAAATGCACACAGATGCAAACAAACAAACCTGAGGTGAAGATTGATAGACAAAAACTGTCTAAAAATGTTGACTTCTTGCCCAACTGATTTATTACCTGTGGAAATTACTAACTGTAACATAAGCCTCTATTCTGACAATTCAGAGAGAACCAAAGCTCCAAATCTGAGATCAAACTTTGACAAGATATTATATTCAGTGCCACTCACTATACCAACAGAGGTGTCGATCTTAACAGTCTTAAACAGTAATGATAATGCCCCCAGCTGTGTTAACCAGATAATCTGTTTTATCCAAGAGATGAAAGATGAGAACAGAATTACCTCCTGCATCAGTAAAGAAAAGAATTATTATCAGCAAAATGCAAGCAAAATGATCAAAAGTAAAAGTGTCGGGCCATAGGAATGTTTTAATAATGATGCATCGGTGTATAGGCAACGTGTTCCCATAGCTGCTCGAGAAAGAGTTTCTTTTTAACTTCATTATTCACAGTTAGCTAGTTTAGTACAGTGGTTGCTAAACAAGGGGTAGTGCTCCTCCCAAGGGTCACAAGATAAATCAGAGGTCGTGAGATAATTAATGTTAGATGGAAGAAAAGAAAGAGAAAAGGAAAAGAACAAAACCTGCCACACAATGCTCTAACGTTTACTTTTTGTAGATTATTTTACTTTTACTTTTACTTTTTTACCTTGAACAGTTATCTGAATTAAACCTTGTCCAAACCTTGTGCCTACATTACCCACAGTGCCAACAATTAGAACAGTGTGTGCAGCTGCTAGATATAAGCAGCAGGCTACTGGCAAGCGCCTTTCTGTCTAACACCACCCTCCACCCCCACCAAATCATCACCCTGGTTTGTTCATTTTCAAACTTGTAGTCTTAAGATGCAACAGATGCTGACTCAGTTGACATCACTTGAGGATGTTTATTAGATTTTTGCACAGCTCCTGCTGGAGAAACAAGTAGCTTCATGCATTTTTTTCCCACATGGGCAGTGGGAGGCCTGGTGGAGTTTACCTTTCAGAGAGGAAATTACTCTTTGGTCAACTTGATAACAACCACTGGTTTAATCTTTGTCAGTGTATTGTATTTCATAATCATATTTTATTTATGCATTTTTATGTAAATAAAATATTTCATATATATATATATATATAGCTTCAAATGGGAACATTCCTTTAAAGTACCTCAAAACTGTACCTGTGTAACTGTAGTGATTTCCATCACTGGCTACACATGGATATGGCACTGTCTGTAATAAATATTTATGTAATCCTGATGAATGATTGTCGTAGTTTGAGGCATTATTGCTCATCTGCCTGGAGCTTTACCACCAATCCAAAAAATGTCATCAGTTGAACTAAAATATACTACATATAAAAATACTGGCACTGATCATATTCCTTGCTTTCTCAGTCTTTTTATCAGTGTTCCTCTATAATATATTATAGCTGATAGTGCTGATGACTTGGCATAACAGATTAGATAAAATATGAGCAGCTCAGGGGATTATATATCAGGCTTATCTGCAGAGGGGAATGTGCAAGAGAGTGGTGGGAGGGTGGTGAAGACAGAGACCCAGGGAAGGACAGGGAATTATTTAAATATTTTTTCCCAGCTCTCTTATCTAGAGGAATGTTTATGAATAATATTCTGTTATACTCAAATAAGAATCAAAGGTTTCTGTTACAGATTCTTGGCACCAGTTTTGTCTGAACATATTTCATTTTGCTACTTTTCTTTAAGGGTCAGAGCAGGTCTACCATTCATCCACTTCTGGGACTTGTGCTTCTGACACAGAGCTGTGCTTGGCTGAAGAGGGTCTTTTGTTCCTCAACAGCTAGCCGCCTCCAGAGAGGTGCAGGAGGCCACTGGGCCACAGTGTGTGTGTGCCTCTCCTGGTAACAATCACTACTGTGAGGCAGCCCCCTCTCCGTACTCACATGCCTGTTCTCGTCAGCCTCCTACCCAGATCACATGAGCAGGGCCCCCAGTCAACCTGACCTGCACAAGGGGCCTTGGCATGTCATGACACCTCCCCCTAGCCTGTGTGGTGATTATGCTGATTAGTCATTACAGTAATGCTCAGGTCACTCAGAGTGCTCAGAAAGAATAGCACTGAAGAGATAAGGTTTATTAAAAGTTAGAACACTTAGATATGCATCGATCCCTGAACTCTGGTAACTCACTTCACATTTAAAACAATGTAGTTGGCATGTTATCTGTAGATTTGATTAAGAATGACAGCAGCATAGACATATCATATACAGTACATGTAGCAGCCTACATGAAACTTGCTATAATCAACTTTTTTTTTTAATAATGCATACATGACTACTTGTATGTGAAAGGTTTCCTCACAGTGACAAGCCCACAGGTAATTATCACCAACTCTGCATAGTCCACAACAGCATATTTTCTTCTATTGGCTCATATTTGTTTGGCTCACAACTTTACTGTTTTTGTTTACTGTCTCAGCACTTCATATTGTAAATTCTGGAGGCACCTGTTTTCACCAAAAATGTCCTAAAGTACCCCATTGGACACCAGTACAAATATTTCACCAAGTTAGCAACAAGATGGTGAACAATAGTGGAGCATTTAGCAGCTAAAGAGCTAATCTAGGATAATTTCCTTAGAGGGATAGTAATGACATTGATCCATAGATCAGGTGGATATTGATACAACCCTGAATAAATGTTGTGCTGGGTGTGTATACTGTCTCTCTGTATGCTAGCTTCCCAACACAGTTAGCCACAAGCTGGTGAACACTAAAGCTACAGTATGTACTTTTAGTCTTAATGTGGAGACGTGCTGTCAAAGCCTCCTGTGACCCAGACTCATTGAACAGCACTGGTAACAGTGCAGATAGCTTTTTTATTTTTAGCTTTTAGCTTATAAAAGGTTTTGAGCAGAATTGACCTCTCTAACCAGTCATTTCTTGTAATTTCATATAGCCTAATATCTGAAGAGCTGGACAGAGTGTGGCTGAGCAGAGCAGATCGTAGTACAGCACAGTGGAGCACGAAGAGGGAGCGACCCAGACTCATTGAACAGCACTGGTAACAGTGCAGATAGCTTTTTTATTTTTAGCTTTTAGCTTATAAAAGGTTTTGAGCAGAATTGACCTCTCTAACCAGTCATTTCTTGTAATTTCATAAAGCCTAATATCTGAAGAGCTGGACAGAGTGTGGCTGAGCAGAGCAGATCGTAGTACAGCACAGTGGAGCACGAAGAGGGAGCGGTGGGCGGAGCAGAGCGGACCAGTTGGAGTTTCATACTTGTGCTACCTTAAGTTACATACTGCAACTTTAATCAGTACAAAGCAGATATAGAGCTCAGATAAGCTAAAGATCTTCCTTCATGAGTGAGTGAAGACCAAAACAGAGCTAAAATTATTTAATATTGGACTCAGATTGATCAAGTGGACAGAAACACGATGCCAAATAAATGCTAATGTTGCTCTGTATCTGTTGGATGAGTGAATGTATGCTAACACGTCAGAGTTGTTTTTGCTCCACTGCCACCAAGTGGCCAAAAGCATCTGATGGGTTCTTGTGGCCTTTATACACATCCAAATCATTGTATTCAGGTGTTCCAACCAACTCCATGGTTACAGGTGTATATAATCAAACACATAGGCATGCAAACCTCTTCTACAAACATTTGTGAAAGAATGGGTCGCTCTCAGGAGCTCAGTGAACTCCAGTGTGGTACCGTGATAGGATGCCACCTGTGCAATAAGTCCAGTCGTGAAATTTCCTCGCTACTAAATATTCCACAGTCAACTGTTAGTGGTATTATAACAAAGTGGAGGCGATTGGGAACGACAGAAACTCAGCCACAAAGTGGTAGGCCATGTAAAATCACAGAGCGGGGTCAGCGGATGCTGAGACACATAGTGCACAGAGGTCACCAAC